CGCCGCGCCACAGAGCGAGTCAAGTTCAAACTTTCGCTCTCAGTGCGGCGAACGAGACCATGTGCGCGGGTGTGCGGAGGTGCGTGTAATTTGGGGCCTGGGGAGCGTAGCGGCCCAGTGTAGCAGTGGTAATTGGTTACCTGGGCTGGCAATCGAAACCGATTCAACTGGGCGTGCTAGGGAGAAAATTGAGCTTCCAACAAAACAGGGACTCGGCTACGTAAAGATGTCAGACTTCAAGCGAATGTAGTTTTATTAGCATTAAAAATTAAATTCGCAACAAAGAAACATTTTATTCAGGCCTCCACTGACTGCAGTATAGGTATGAGTGCAGTGATCATTATTATGCCTTTGCGATATGTCATGTTATTTAACCCGCGCCTTCGTGGGGTCTGTTTATAACGCGACGTGGGGGGCTATTTTTTGCCACCCTCGTATCTCCGGAATTGCTGGACGGATCCGCAAAATTCAGACGGCGTTCAAAATCCCTCTCAAATTTGGCACGAGAAATACAATGTCATTAACGTCGGGGTCACCGATGACGTCACAGGTCAGGTCAACCGTCAAAGGATAAAATGTTTTCCTGGTCACGGGTCGCTATAACATTGAATAAAACGCATTTTATCGAAAATCAGCGATAAGGGCGTCAGTTGCCTTGTACATATGTTGCTATTAGAGGTCACTAATAATACCAGGTCAGGTCACAGGTCAGGTCACCAAGGGTCAGCACATGAACCCAATTTCACCAGGACTGTGTGATGCGTGTTTTATGGCCAATTTTCATTTCAAACTCCATGGTGTTGGTTATAGGACCATCAGGAACGGTCTAGGTCACTTCCTGGTGGAGGTCAGGTCTATGTCGGGTCAAAAAGGTTCAAATTTCAAATTTGATATTTTTTGCATAAAATGGATAAGATTTGCATAAAATGGATTCGATGCAACTCGTGACGGTGAGTCTAATGGTAGTCTTTTTCACGCTACGTGGTCTAGAATTGCTAAAAATTGAGTTTGAAAATTTGACGTCATCAATTTTGATGCAGTTTTTCGCGATAACTTGGCCAAAAAAATAAGTATCGATCTAAAATTTGGTATGTGAACTGAAGTCGGTAAGTACTATCGCATATATTCTGCTTTTTTTCGAAAATCAAAAAACATTAGGATTTTTGGGCTGTTAGGTATATTTAAAAAAAATTGACTTTTTGAGTCAAAATTAAAACAAAATTTCGAGATTACAGTTTTGTAGGCCTGGTAATTCCACACCTTTTATGTGTTTAACATTTCTGTGTCATCAAAGCTATAGGTCTGACAGCTCTTCCCGCGAAACCTTTTTTGGGTGGAAAACGGCAGAACATGACGTCACTCTGACGTCATTTGTGGCCAACCTATCATAGCCTTTGGATTGTTTTTCGGTCACAATGTGTAAAATTGATGCCCGGGAGGGTACTGAAAGTTTGGTCACGATTGGCGTAGCGGTTCTAGAGATATATTGAAAAATCCGGAGGCGCCGGCGGGGCACCCCCCCCCCCCCACACACACACACACCAGGGCGCGGGCTAAAAAAAATGAACACCCACATCTCCTTGTAGTGTTTGAAATGCCTTTATATTTGTAAACGGTTCTTTGTATGATCAATATCCATATGAGCCTAGCAGCCTTGACTGAGAGACAGGTGATACATCAACCTCGGGTGTCCTGTATATGTAAACACATGGCGCGTATGACACCTGAGTGCCATCAATCAATTACCTAAAAACACTGTGCCGAATCAATCATACGTCACTCCTAATGTGGCACTAGTAGTAGTATATATAGTAGCTCAAGTGGAAGCCGGTCCTCTTTTAAGATAAGGACATTTTATTTTCCAGCACGGCTTGTTTGAAGATAAATGTATGCGATAAATTTTCGTACAACGGATATATTACTTTTATTACATTAGGATAAATTTTATAGGTTATTTGAAACAACAAAAATGCAATATCTGATGCATATTGCGATGTAATATGCACTTCATATATTTCAGTAGGTATGCATTTTAGTTACCTCACATAGCTAAACGGAAATGTGCGACTGCTTAAAGTCATTTTTTCCCAGGAAATTAGTTATGTATGGTCACTTTTCGGATTATTCTCTGGGATAATAATATCTAACTCACAAGTCCATATCTGGACTTGTCCATATCTGGAATAATATCTGGACTTGTGAGTTAGATATTATTATCCCAGAGAATAATCCGAAAAGTGACCATACATATTACATAATGTGCGACTGCTTGTTTTTCTTATTCACAATTGAATTGCAATAGTATTGAGCTTGTACCAAACCTTGAATTTTTTTTGAATGAATGAACTATGAAACTTTTTGCATGCACTTACAAATGCATGATAATGATTTTTTAGAATGAATGAATGAATGAATGAATAAAAATGCATGGACTCTGCCTGATTACGGACTAAATAATACCTTTTTTATGCTTTGTCTTTTTAACCATCGAAATCATTATGAAATCAGTGGATATCAGTACCCACTGGTAGGGCACGATGTCATTTAATGATATGACACAGAACTATTGGGTTTGGCGCAAGAGGGGTTCGACATCATCCGGTATCACCAGGTTTCGTCAGTGTTTCTTTGAATGAGGCCTAACAACTTATTGGTGTCAATAAATGTCATCAGAGGACACTTAAAATCAGAAGCGTCCGTTTCAAGTGAACTACCTATTACCTAAATTTTATTTAATTGAAAAAAGAAATATTAAAAAATATCCCTACATTGAATCTGTAAAATACATATATGGAACATTGCTTCTGATGCATCTATGTAGAAATAATTCCTAAACAACTTAAATGCCATCGCATATTTGCAAACGAGCTCGCACGGCCCCACTGGTGGATGCCGCTTTAAAACCATTCCGTTTCCTTCGACTCCAACACATGGCTGAATTCGCAGCCGAGCCGCGGGACGAAAGTGAGACTTTGCTCCGGGGCACGGCTCTGAGCCGGCAGCTGACGCCCGGACAGCCCGCTCGGCGGCTCTCTGATCTGGGGTCACCGCGGCAGCCCGTGTCAAACGGCGACGAATCCATCCAACAGGCAGCTTTCGCCCGGTGTAGCTGCCGCGCCACCAGGCCGGTTACTATTCTGAGGAATGTAGCCATTATATGTAGACGGTCGTTTCTCATTATCCGTGGGAAACTGTCGGGATGGGAGAGGAGAGAGACGCGTAGGCCGTCCCCGATCGTGGCCTGAGATGGCCCCGGGGCCAGTCTGGAGGCGGTAGCAGGGGTCACGACGGAAGAAATCAATCAGGGAGCACGTCTTCTGAGCGGGCGTGACCCGGAACGGATCACGACGGGAAACGTGACTGCAGGTCGAACCACGAACTTCATATGAAGCAGGAAGCGACAGGCCATGACACTTATGCAATATGCACGAGCTGCCCTTTGCATTGACCTGCGGGTGTGACGGCTAGCTACCTAAAAATACACAGATAAAATCGACATGGACGAAAAATACTGATGCATGATTTGGACTTTTGAGCTGTAGACAAGTCCAATCGAAAATGTCTCGGCATTATCATGTAACACGATTTTAACACTTAAATGCAAGCTTACCTATTTAACGACAGTGCTTTCGAGGAAATGAAAAAGTCGATGGAACCCCTTGTTATGAAAATATATTTCAGGTGTCTAGCAAAACTCCACGCAACACATCTAGAAGAAATAATGTGCAATATGCGGGGTGAAGGCTGCCAACAGCGATGTTGGAGCTGTCTTGTCTTAGCTCTAAAACGAGTGAAGTTTGCCCGTTCGTGATTCTTACATAACATCGATAGGCGATAATGCACCATTCGACTAATCTGTTTTGAGGCGCAGAACGGGGCACTTACCTGAATACGGATCCGACCAGACACACCCACTTTCCCCTCGTAGGTATCTTTGACAGATCTATTATCGCTGACGGATGGCGTAAAACGGGCTGTTTGCTCTCCTCTGAAACGATCGATTTTCACCCGTGTCTTGGTTTCTTTGTGGTAAAGCAGCGTCAACTGATTCCAGGAAAGATGAATTGGTGCCAGTTTACAGATATACTGAAAGAAATATTATTTTCGTATTATTTGCAAGTGTCGTGAGCGTAACAATTGACCATCCCGTTTAAGAATAAGGGAAAAAGTTCAGAAGCTCTTTAACAACGCATCGGAAGGCATTGATGGGTTACGCTGATGAATCAAGTCTTAAAAACGAACATCATTCGAACAGGGCGTGCACATACACTGTTGACCCTTGCTGTTGACATTCCCTACGAGAAGTTGCATTACACCATTTATGAACATTCACCTGTCGAAGCTAATATAAAATTTACCTTGCCTTGTCTTTACCTTTATCAGCTCATACCTACGGTGACATTAATTTTGTATTGGAGGAATATCCAAATGTTCTAGCTGCTTTTTCACGAGCTATTCAACGTCGTTGACCCTTACATTGCGTGCTACTTACGAGTCACATCTTTCGGCTCTGCGGGCGGTGAATCAATCTAAAATTTACAGCATACCACTCCAACAATGTTTTACCATCTAATATGATAAAATAAAGTAAAATATCAAGAAATTAAAATCGGTTTTGAAGAAATGCAATCCTTAAATTATTTAGGAGTCGCGAATATTCGGTCGCAAAATCAACCAGTATAACAGCACTCCATATCAGGGTCACCTCTTACCTCGTTCAGCCTGTCAGCAACATGTCTGACGGCAGCGGCCGCCCGCCGAGTGCTGCAAACGAACCAGTTGCCCAGCGCCGGGTTCTCAACCCCTTCGTGACCCGCACTAATGCATTCGACACCATCCCAGACAAGCTGAAAGTGGCACTGATGACGGTGTTCGTAGTGCCACTGAGGTTGGCAGGCCTGTGTCTGTGCGTGCTTATAGGCTGGGTGTTCGCTTCAATCAGCCTCTTGGGCATCGCAGAAGATCACCGAGACAAACCTCTGCGCGGCTGGAGATGCATTATGCGCGGCCTGCACGCGCTGAACGCCCGCGCAGCCTTCTACCTGAGCGGCTTTGTGGTGCGCGTCCGCGGCACCCTGTCCCCCGAGGCGCCCGTGCTGGTGGCGGCGCCGCACTCCTCCTTCGTGGACGCGATCGTGCTCTTCTGCTCCGGTCTGCCGTCCGTCATCTGCCGCAGCGAGACCATCGAGCTACCATTCCTGGGCACGATGACCGACTACACGCAGCCTGTGTATGTGCGCCGGGAGGACCCCAACTCCCGACAGAACACCATCAGGGAGATACAGCGGCGCGCGCGCAGCCGCGGACAGTGGCCGCAGATGCTGCTCTTCCCCGAGGGCACCTGCACGAATCGCTCTTGTCTGGTTCAGTTCAAACCGGGCGCCTTCTATCCAGGCGTGCCCGTTCAGCCGGTTTTGGTTCGCTATCCGAACCGTTGCGATACGGTGACGTGGACGTGGGAAGGACCGAGTGCGTGGGTAGTGCTCTGGCTGACGCTGACTCAGATCGTCACCTTCTGCGAGATTGAGTACCTGCCCGTGTACGTGCCGAGCGAAGAGGAGAAGGAGAACCCGCGCCTGTTCGCGAGTAACGTTCGTGCGAGGATGGCAGAGGCGCTGGGCGTTCCGGTGGTCGACTACACGTTCGATGACTGTCGCCTGATGAGCAGAGCCTGCTCCTGGGGCCTGCCCTGCGAGACGGGACTTGTGGAGGCGACCAAAGTGATGCACGGGCTCGGCATCAACATAGAAACCGCGGAAGCCGAGATGGACCGCTTCGCCAGCATCGCGCGGAAGGAGGACGGCCTGATGAGGATGAGCGACTTCGCCGCCCACCTGGCCATCCCCACCTCCGTGCCGCAGCTGGTTGAGCTCTTCAACCTCTACGACAGCAACGGCGACGGCGTGGTCGACTTCCGCGAGTACCTGGTGGCCGTCACCCGCCTGGTCCGGCCGATCAACACCGAGGAGACCATCAGTCTCGCCTTCCGCAGGATGGACGTCGGCGAGAAGGGTCACGTGACGCGCCGTGACGTCACCAGGGCAATGGACATCGTGTTTGACATGACCGAACAGGAGGGGAGCAAGCTCTTCGACCAGGTGGAGAAACAGAACGAGTATTGCATTACGTTTGTGGAGTTTCGCGAGTGTTTGCAAAAGCATCCAGAGTATGCTGTATTTTTCACAGCGTGGTTGGAGAATCTGAAGCAATCCCTTCAAATATAAACGAGTGGCTAGGGTCTTCAAAATGCTTATTAGCCCGGTTTCAAGAAAAATTACGGAAGAACAAGACCGGCGCAGCCCTCGAGCTACCACCCTTGTTGTCAGCGGTATCCAGTTTGATAGGCTAGCAAACCTCTTCCTTGATTCCCATTTTACATTTTACCAACGCATCTTTGTAATAAATGTTTTTACATCTGTAGTTTCCGATAACTACGAACTGTATCAAATTAACCGACGCATTTCACACGAGCTGAACCTTGTCACTGCAGTCACGAGGTGACTCACGAAATTCCGTCTGGTCATACAGTTTGCACGGATGGCCGAGTTCCCTGCATCAAATGGTCTGTTTGCGGGTGCTACCACAGACCACAGGGTATCCAGGTCAGGGGTAAACACCAAACAGGTGCGGGAGTGGAACCCACCCCGCCACAGGGAGAGAACAAACACCAGCCGCATACTGCTTCAATCTCACACTTGATGCACATTATTGTTTATCTGACTGCAATGATGCAACTGGTTACTTTTATGAACGGTACTGGCTTGGCTTGCGTATGGGAACTTGCGGTTTTCAGAACTATTGCTGATGGCACCGACATCTAGTCGCTACGGCCGCGTGAGCAACGGGGTTGTCAATGAAACCATCTCGAGCAGACGGATCGGTGATGATATGTTTTCGTCGGTGGTTTGTCTCTCTTTTGTTCCGGATAGACTGACACCTGATGGCTGGAGACAAAAAGGAAGGGCAAGGACATAGGCCCAACAGAAAAGCTTTGAAACTTATAATACAGTGAAAGAAACACACGCACAGAGTCACAGACTCAGACTCGCGCACAGACGTAAGCGCACGGCGCTGCAGGTGCGTCTGCGCTCGTCTATTTCACAAGCGGCGTGCCTCGCCGGCCTGGGCGGCGCCGGTGCGGGTCGCGCCGGGTCACGCGAGGTCACGCCGGGTCGCGCCCGGCCGCGGCTCAGGGTCACGTGACCGTGATCCCGCTGCCGGGGTCCGTCTCGGGCGCCGCCCGGCAGCCGGCCCGGCGCGCCGCCGCAGCCGCAGGGACTCTGATGGATGACCCGCTCATGAGGACCGGGCACCGATAGCCCGACCAGGACGGCCAGAGGTCAGTGCAGGTCACCGGGGCACCAATCAAAATGGAAATCAATGCTGCACGAAAATACTAGAACGTCTAAGCCAGTGTCTTTTCATGGGTCAGCCACGGCCGGCGTCTCGTAAAGTCTATGTAATCTTTATCTCGTGGCTAACTGACCAAAACATTAAAATGTCAAGTTCAATTCATGTTTAGTTACATATGTTACAGTGTGTCCGCGAAATCCGTGAGTTCGCAAAGTCACTGGTTGATCCTAGTGTGACGTCCCTTAAAGCCTCTCCCCTCTTTGCAGGGTTAACAGATGGATGTTGTATGGCCAAGTGTATTGTCGAGAAGAAGCAAGTGAGTAGCATGCACCTGCAAACGAATCATCCGTCAGGACAAAGTCATGCGCGCGGGCATGCGGGATCAGACGGCAGCGAAATGCGGACTAGCAGTATGCAGAGCGCGCGGGAAGACGAGCGTACACAAGCACGGACATAGAGCGCACGGATAGACGGGCACACACACATGCACATATCCATATGCAATGAGTATGCTGACATGCAGGCATAAAGAACACGGAAGAACCATGACATCACCTTCCCGGCAAAAAAAAAAATGTGTGCACAAAATCGTTTCAACAGCCATAAGAGGGCGGTATCTGTGTACCTCATCAAGGGAGATACCTGGGGTTACGCCGGATTTCCCTCCCCGAACGAGACCTGGAGGGGAGGAAACTCAGTGGGTCGACCGGGATGTCTGGGGCCTGAATGGTGGGCCTAGGATGCGGGACAGCGTCAGTGGCTGAGTCGACGTCTTCGGTAGTCATATCCCCCGGTGACTCATGGGTGTCAGCATCAGGTCGCTCATCCGAATCGTTGACGTCACCGGTCGTGGTTCCGGTAGTTTCAGTCGAACATCCGGCTGTCTCAGCTGGAGGGCTGGCCGTCGGCACAGTTGGCGCAGAGAGCTCGGGAGGTACGGTTTTGATGCGATTAAGGTGCACGCACCTCTCCGAGTTTCCTATGCGAACGAACACGTTGCCTCCAATTGTCCGAGTCACAATGCACGGACCTGTGAACAAAGGATCAAGACCGGACCGCTCTTCGACACGTACACTCGGGGGCAGATTGATGTTCCACCACTCCCTACCCATCGGGCTCCCATGGCTCAGCACTGGCTGCTGCCAGTGGCAGCACTGGCAGCACTGGCACTGACAGGCAGCGCTGAGCAGTGCTGAGGGCAGGCAACACTGGCAGCAGCCAGTGCTGAGCCATGGGAGCCCGATGGGTAGGGAGTGGTGGAACATCAATCTGCCCCCGAGTGTACCATAACCTTGTCACCCACTTGTACTTTGCGATCCTGTGGTGTCACCCGAGCACGGTCATAGTACTGCTTGCTCTTACGCCTAGCTTGACTGTTGTTGTCCCATACTCGACGATAGATCCCCGGGCGAGTGGCTTGAAACTCGTCGACATGGTCCTCGGGACTCACATAGGCACCAGTGTCAGAGAGTGTGACACTCTGTGGCGACCGGAGCGAGACGCCGTACATGATCTCGTGCGGTGACAGTTTGGTGGACGAGTTCTTCGTAGAGTTGAAGACGAAGGTCACCTCCTTCATTACTTCAGGCCAATCAGTAGTCTTCATCTTTCACTCAGCGAGAAGACAGCGCAACAACTGCTTCGCAGACTGCACGCACCTCTCGGCCAGTCCGTTGCCCTCTGGATGGTAAGGGCTGGAGTGCCGCTTCTTGATGTGGAAGTCGGAGCAAAAACGTCTGACAGTCTCGCCATCCATATTCCGAGCTTGATCAGTGATCAGAATCTCTGGGAGGCCGTGACTGTACCCCCATCCTGACATGAAGCTCCGGAGTACGGTGTCCGCTGTTTGATCCTTAATAGGGATGAACTCAGCGTACTTCGAGAAGACGTCTACTACCACTAGGAAGTAGCGGTAGCCGGATGCACTCCAGGGCAGTGTACCCACATCCATGGCCACCGTTTTCCGTGGGGCCAATTCTCCGATCTCGTACGGTTGTAGTTCTACCTGTGGTTGGTACGACCTCTTGTTAGCGCTACACACCAAACACTGGGCACAAACTGATCGCACACAAGGGGACAGTCCGGGCGAGAAGAACTGTTCTGACACTCTTTGCAGTGTCTTCTCCACACCCAGGTGCTCAGCCGAATGTATAGCTTCCACCACTTCTCGCTGGACGGTCGCTGGCACGACTAGCCGGCCTCCTTTCATCAGAATGCCGTCCTGGATAGTCATGCCACGGTAGTGCCGGAAGCGCCCGCGGGTGATTCTGTCATTCGCTATCAGCTGTGACGTGGCAAACATGGTCACTGGGTCTTCCTTTTGCGAATTGCGTACTCTGCTGAGCAAGTCACTGCCGGATAGTTTGTACACATGTCGTTCGAAATGTTCGTGTTCATCATTCAGCTGGATGTCGACCGGCTGGCTGATCCTGCTCAGACAGTCTGCGCCAGCGTTTTCTGCGCCCTTTCTGTATACTATCTCATAGTTGAACGACTCGAGTTCCATGAGCCATCTCGCGAACTTGTGTCTAGGATCTTTCTGTTTCTTGAGCCAAACCAGAGGATTGTGATCGGTGACTAGTACTATCTTGGGCGCCGCCCGCAGATATGTTTTCCACTTCCTTACAGCGGCCACAAGCGCCCAACACTCCAGTTCACTTGCCGAGTAGTTCCGTTGAGCGGCGGTCAGACCCGAAGAAAAGTATGCCAGAGGCTTACGGGCGCCATTCCCAATATCTTGTGACAGGATACCGCCGACACTGACATTACTTGCGTCCACTTCAACGCAGAAAGGTTTGTTCCACTTGGGAAACGCGAGTACTGGGGTTTTCACGAGGGCTTTGCGCAGTGAGTCGAAACTGGTCCTGCATTCCTCCGTCCACAGCCAGTCGGACCCCTGATGGGTCAGTTTGTACAGGGGAGCCGCTGTGCGTGCCATCCCCGGGATGAAATGTCGATAGAAGTTCACGAGTCCCAAGAACCTCTGCAGCTCCTTCTTCGATCGGGGCTCTGGATAGTCTCTGATTGTCACCACATGTGACTGTAGGGGCCTGTACCCCTCGCCACTGATCTCATGGCCGACGAACTCTCCTCTGTCGTAGGCGAGGCGGCATTTGTCAAGCCGGAGTTGCATGTTTGCTGACCTGTAGGCGTCCAACGTCCTCTTGAGGCATGTCTCGTGTTCATTGATGTCTCGAGTGTAAACGCAAGCATCATCGATGTATGCCTCCACCTGTGGTATGTCAGACAGGACCTGGTCGATGATGCGTTGGTAAGTACTTTGACTGTTACACAGGCCAAAGGCCATCACGTTCATCTCGAACTGCCCTTTTGGGACTGAGAAAGCGGTCTTTTCCCTGTCACTCTCACGGATGGGGACCGACCAGTAGGCACTAGCCCCATCCAGAAACGAGAATACCTGACTTCCGCTCATCTTGTCCAAGATATCCTGCCAGCTGGCCGCTGGGTATGCATCCTTCTTCGTGACTGCGTTCAAATCTCTGTAGTCGACGACGAACCGATATGAGGAGTCCTTCTTCCTTACAAGGATGACGCGACTGCTCCAAGGAGAGTTGGAAGGCCGACAGATACCGTTGTCCAGCATCTCCTTCAACTGCTTGTTGACCTCCCGCTCCATGTCCGGTGACATCCGTGACGACTTTTGCTTCACGGGTCTCGCGCCTCCGGTTTCTATGTCGTGTTCGGTTACCGTTGTCTGAGTGGGTTTCTTCGGGTTCACTGCGAAAACATCCCGGAACTCCCACAAGACATTGAAGATTCTCTCCCTTACATCTGGGTCGAGGGCAGGGTTGATGCGCGATCGTAGCTCAGCTGCTGACGGTGACACCATCCCTTCCAGGACGGCGACAGCGACCCGGCCATCCTGCTCGCCTCCACGAATCATGACATCCGGGGTCTTCCATCGGTCGCCGAGTCGGATGCGTCCGCCGCTCCAGTCGAACTCGGTGGTGGGGAAGAGGGAAAGGAAGTCTCTTCCAAGGATTACAACAGATTCCACCCCACTCAGGACCCTCAGAGAGTGGCGAACCCTCTGGCCGTCGCCGACATCGACAATGACAGACAGGATGCCCAACACGAACGCCTTACCCCCCACTCCTGACACCGGATCCAGGTCATTGACGTATTCCACCTTATCTTCTAGGTTGGCAGCGACTACAGAGCGCTCGTCAATTACAGACATCGAAGCTCCTGAATCCAGAAGTGCTGGAACGCGAGCACCATCCAGATGTACTGTCAAAGTAACAGCATGTTCACTCGGGCCTTTATCCTTACTTGCTATATGATACACTTTTGGGCCTGACCTACAGTCCTTAGCACTGTGACCCTTCTTACCGCATTTAGCACAGTGGCGTGAAGGACATTTGTACATTAGATGTTCCGCAGAACCACACAGGTAGCACTTCCTTTGCTTTTTATGTACAACATACACTTTTTCACCCACCTCACCACTCTCATCGCTGGGATCAGGATACGGTTCGCGAGCGGTCTGGTGAGTAGCAGAGTTCTGATCATGGAACAATGCATTGGGAGCCGGTCCTGCCGCCTCAGTTCCCTGTCGCACTGCCCCCACGAAGTGTCGCGATCCCCGGTCCAGAGGTAGTCCCCTTTCCACCAGCCAGCACTTAACATCCTTGACAAATGTTCTTAGAGTTAAAATGTTGACTTCACCACAGTCCGCCAGCCACGACTTTGCTTTCGACTGGACTTCCTTTGGGAGTTGGGAAACAAAAAGTGAACACATAAACCTAAGATCTGCGCCTGCCTTCTCTCCCAAACGTTTGAGCTCAAAGAAAAAATCGTCCACTTGTACACCAGGAACCCAGTCAAGACGGCACATCTCCTGCATATACTGGTACTTATCCACCGGGGGGTCCAACGTACTGACAAGCACCTCAAAAGCAGCATCTAGCTCACTGCAATCCCTCATCAACTCCCGCACCAGCTCACGCTCCGCTGTACGCCGGTTCACATATGCAGGTAGCAGACCGATGGCGAGGGCTTCACCTTCGGGGCCCTTTGCCAGAAGAGTAGCCACCCCTGCCTTGAACAAGGGCTTCCAGTCCTCAATCCTCTCATCCGGCTTCAGTGCTGGGATGGGCAGATTCATGACAACCTGGTCAATGGCTGAGGTTCCTCGGCTTCCCCCTTCGACCTCTGTCTTTACAGGATCGGTCATTATGTGCTGCCTGTTGATTCACTTGCTTCTTATGTGACGTCCCTTAAAGCCTCTCCCCTCTTTGCAGGGTTAACAGATGGATGTTGTATGGCCAAGTGTATTGTCGAGAAGAAGCAAGTGAGTAGCATGCACCTGCAAACGAATCATCCGTCAGGACAAAGTCATGCGCGCGGGCATGCGGGATCAGACGGCAGCGAAATGCGGACTAGCAGTATGCAGAGCGCGCGGGAAGACATGCGTACACAAGCACGGACATAGAGCGCACGGATAGACGGGCACACACACATGCACATATCCATATGCAATGAGTATGCTGACATGCAGGCATAAAGAACACGGAAGAACCATGACACTAGGGACTCCGCGGAGTCACGTAAACTCTCGTGAATTCGCGAAATCACTGCCGTGGTTCCGCGGATTTACTACAGTTTTCAGTGCGTCCGTGAAGTCACTGAAGAGTCGCGGGGATCTGCGAACTTCCTAGTTAATCCGCGGACTAGCGATTCTTTTTCAGCGAATCCGCGAAATGCCGATTCTTTTCACTCATATACCAGTTAAAATTATTGCAGCGGATTTCAGCTGTCTATAACACTATTCGAGGTGGATGCGTCTGTCCGTTTATACCGAGGTCCCGACAAGGTAAACATACACACGGTAGATACCTTCGGTTGGATGACCCCCCATGGTTTGTCGCAAATTTCTCGTGAAACAAGCAGCTGATCGCGACGAAACTTTCCGTGCCCTCGAGCTCATCGATTTTACAACTAACCTAAGAACTCCTTGACCCCTGACCCAACTGACTTTTTGACCCGTGACCTATTTCTCGAGACCATGTTTGGCCAGAATAGCGATTCGGCGCATGCCAGCTCACATTATCCGCGCGTTTCCAGTCTTTTTTGTGGTTTAAACGTTCAAACATGTTGTAATGGTGCTGGTGCAATGCAGTATGGTGGATGACAAGGTCACGTTAACCCTATTAGTGGCAGGGGGGGGGTTGTTTTCATCCATCCCTCAGGTTTTTCGGGAATATCTCCGAAACCGCTGAAGCTACGATGCTGAAATTTTCTGACTTTTCCTAAAACTAAATTGGGCACATTCCCTGAAAATTTCAAGTTCATAACTTTACCAGGGGCGGCTCCAGAGCACTGGGAATTGGGGGTCCTATTCGTGAAGCGAGTCATTTGGGCGAAGATCACGATGCTGATGTATTATAACTGTATGCACCAGTTTTACGAGCAGTGAATGAAAGGTATCATGTGATAACATATGCAAAGTTATTGTGCATCCTCTGTTGACACGTTTTTGCTATGATAGGCGGATCCAGGCGTCCAAAAAGGGGGGGTTATGTTTTACCTCCCAACATAGGTGCCCTGACACCGCCTATGCATGACCAATACAATTGTAGTCGTTCTCTCATAATAAAATTGTAACATAACAAGACCATTACCACCCTTTTTAGAAACGGTACCAACAAAAACCTTATTTACAATACTTTTTGTGTACCCCCAATCTCAATTATCTGTATCCGCCTATGATTTTTGAAAATGCATATTTTTAGGATCCATGTGAATTCCTGGTTCATTCTCTATCGATCAGCAAAAGTTGCGTTAAGATTGGTTCAGAAACCTGGCCGTGATAAACAGTCTAAAATGTATCTGCAATTTGCCCGTTTTACCCCCCTCTACCCCCCTATTGACATTTTTTAATTTTTTTTTTAGAAATGTAGATCACGTTGAGCGAAATCGAATGCCGTTTGAATTTTGAAAATCGGCCCGTTAGATCTCGAGATATCAAGGGGGGGGGGTCGTAAACAGCCCCCCCCTGCCACTAATAGGGGTAGCCAGGAGCCTGCCACTAATAGGGTTAAGGTCACGTCAAGGTCAATGACCTTTGATGACCTTGGTTCACTTTTTTTAGTTTTACTTGTTTCTAGAGTAGTTTTTGGAGCTGATTTTGAATTTAACAGCCATTTGAACATTTACGAAGTATTTGTGGTG